AAAGAGCTTGCACTCTGGGCTTTCATTACCACTTTTCAGAAGCAATTCCTTTTTCAGTATGGAGAACTCTTTTATTAAACCTCGCAACTTGCAGGGAAAATGACATTCTCTTGCAAAGAGGCAGGGACGTGATGACTGTCTTTTGGGTTGCAAAATGACCATGCAAGTTCCCCATGATTTTATTTGCAAAATTCTCTGATGTCTTTATGCCCTACCCAGGACTGCATTTTGCTTGCCCAGGGTGCTTGTTACTGACATTTCTCTCCCATCAGTTGTCCCCAGTAATGCAGGCACATCACACGTGTAACAGGAATGTGAAGGCTTGCATGGAAATCTGGTGGGATCCACTGCCCGGAACAAATCCCTGTCCTCTCTGGCAGATGGCTGAGATGAGCTGGCCACTGGTCAGCTCTTAAAAGAGGGAAGGATGAAAAGGAGGAGAAACAAAACCCTCTCCTGGCAGGGGGAGGCAGAAAGAGAGGGGCATGGGCATGAAATGTCCCTGAACGCCAGCCTGGTTTTTGGTTGTCGTTGCATTGGACTGCAGTGATCAGAGGCTGCTGCGATGCATCCAGCTCTACAGTGGTACAAGCTGTTAATCCTGAGCAGCAACCAGCAGTGGAAGATGTTGGAGATGGGAGGACACTCTTGTACTGCCATATCCCCCTCCTTTCTCCCCTTTGTTGCCAATTAAATGCCATTAGCTTCACTGTCATGTGAAAGTCGTTCATCTAAGAAGCATAATACGATGAATGTGAGATTTTACCCCCTTCTTGTTTCATTCTCCTTGAGAGTTATGAAAGAAAAAATAAATCTATCTCTTAAATCTATCCCTTACTGACCTCGGGGTATCTCAGCTGTCAGAAGCAGGCTTGGCATACTAAGCATCTGACATTAGAAAAGAGCCCTTCTTCTGACAGCAGCATGAAGGAGCTGCAAGTGGAAAGGATTTCCCTTCAGACACAGTTCCAAAACCTCTGCGTGCCGCTGAGGGTAAAATCCCTGCAAACTCTGGAAGACTTTCGTAGGACAGAGTTTTTGTCGTTTACCGCTGGCTGAGCTGTCATTGCTTTCCCCAGAGCTTGCTAGATCAGGATGAGACTCCCTCAGTACTCCCTCCCTCCCTAGATGATAATTGTATTTAAATATTAAACATCAACATGGCTTACACAAGTTCCCTGATTAACGAAACACCATGCAGCAAAACAGACGTGATTTCAGTTCGATGAACAGGCACCTAAATTTAGGTGGGTGCTCATGGACCTAGGGCCTGTGTGAACAGAAAGTCAGTTTTACCTGTTACCAAGTTCTTGCAACCTGCTCAGAGGCAATGCAAGTAATGACTTTTCTGACTGATGTGTAATTGGATTGGGTACCTCTGGTTACTACAGGAGACTAAACAAGATGTTGCCTGATTATTCGTCACTCCAGCTGCTGCATGCATCTTTGGGACTTATGCAGAGGTAAAAGGATTGAAATGGGAGCCCTTTCTGTATGAAATTAGGCTGAAATGTGAGAGGAGAATGATGTCAAAAGCACAATTTTGTTAGGGCAGGACCAGGTGTAAAGTGGATGTTGGAAGAGCCATGAATTTTCATAGCAAGGTGATTTCAAAGTGCTGATTCAGGGAGTGCTGTCCTGCAACAGTCTCATGAGAACAAGGTTAAAAAGAACTGGGGACAGTTTCAGACTCACTTAATAACATATATTTACATTTTATTTTCACTTCTAGCTGGGAGGCCTGAAGTTCTCTGAAGAACAGAGCTGGTCTGGCAATGATTAGCTTGCAGGGACGCATGTAGGGCAAAGGAAGCCTTTCATTAGCCATCCTACTCCAAGCAGAGAGGCTGCTGTTGGAGGTACAGGAGCTTCTTAACTGATGTTATTTTTCAACAGCGAAGTTCTCAGCTTTACCGTAGCCACCTTGCTGGAGGTGCTATGTGGAGAACAGTAGCTGTTGTGGTGTTATGCCGTCTTGGATGAGCCAAACAAGCCTCCTCACATTGGGAGGCTCACCCAAACCCTCTCCTATCCTATTTGCTTCTTATTTATAGACCATTTACTATAAGATGTGACCTATGTGACAGTCACAAAGCTGGGGGACCCTCTGCTGCCTGTTCCAAGCAGGGTGCTGGCCTTGAGCTTCAGCCTGGGGACAAGGCCACAAGACAGCAGTGCCTGTAGAGGGTAGGTGGGAAAAGAGGCACCTAACATAATTTTGCCAAGGGACACACCAAGGGCAGGCTTTCTTTCCTGTGACACTTAAAGATGTGTCTTGAGTGACTTTATTTCCATTGTCACTAGAGGATTTTGCAGCCTGATTGAGCACCGCAGTTAAAGTCTCCCTTGATGAAACCTCGTGAGTCTAATTCTAATCTTGTAGGCAACATGGTGTTCAGCCTAAACTGATTATGTTTTGGGACTCCTCTGGATTGTCGCGAGGGGGAGGGAGGCTGGTTGTCTTGTCTTTAATAAGAGGCTGCATTTTTTCACAAGGTGTGTCTGCATGCTCTCAGTTTCTCTTGAAATGCCTCAGATTTAATATCCC